GAAGTAAATGCCTTCAAAAATGATTCTACAGAGGGAGCTTGGATTAGGAGCTTGACTTCACCTCCTGCACACGTGTCCCAGTGCCAGCACAAAGGCTGGGGTCCAGAATATGAGAGTGAGTGTCCAGGCAAACAATTCTTATAGAGGAGAGACCTGACATTGTTTTTTACATTGAAATGCATGGACACTAATCAGAGAGTTCACAGTATAAATAGTATGCATAAAACCTGTGCCTTTGGAAATCTATTAACCATAATCATGAATCTACATGCTCTTGATATACATAACTGTGAATCATTTTATAGAGAATAAGATTCCTTCTAGTTTATGCCAACTGAGATTTTGAAACCTTTTTAGGATTAGAGAGTAGAACCTCTCAACTAATAAAGCCTGTATTTCGAATTAAATTTTGGTCCCACTGAGGACAAGCGAAAAGTATAATTGAATTAGGGATTAATTTCTAAAATCACAAATATTATAGCTAAGTATCATCATAGCTGTAGGTGACTGCAAGAAAAATACGAATATTTAAAGGCATTCCTAGTATCCGCATAGGTTGTTGGAAGTCTGCCTACTGTTTCAAAATACTCCTTCATTTAAATCAGGTGCTCCCTGCACTGTAGCTAGTACTAAAGACCTTTGAAAGTTTTGGTATCACATGTTATAGTAAAGACTTGTACTTTCTTTCTTGAATTTTCTGAATCCTGTCCACTTCCTTATGACCCACGTAGCTCCCAGTCGGTTTTAGGCTACTATTACCATTTTACTTCAGGGCTTCAAGCATTCTGAGCTTGGCTCAGCAAAGCACCAAAGTATACACATAACTTAAAAAGATATGTCACCCTTTTTATGAGGTTAGCAATAACTAGATTTAGCTATATATTCTTGTATAATTATAGCAAATTTCAGGTACAATCAATAATATCTTTTCCCATCACTGACAATATAACAAGATTAGATTACTATACACGCACATTATATGTGTGTGCAGTATGTGTGAACACAGAGCAAATGCATTCCGTTACAGTGCTCACACACATGCCTGCAAGTTCATGCATACAAATATGCACACGCACAATACTCTAAAGATGGCAGATGGCTTCCCTGTCTATTGCCACATCTAAAGCACTTCTTTTGATTAAAACTTAAATTGAAGGCTATCAGCCACCCAAAACAATACATCCTTGAGCTGCATCCTATTAAATCATTCTGATTGCTACTACTTAATAAATACACCCTTCCTTGAGATACTTCATTTTGTACTTACATTTATTATCTAACGGTTATTTTAATGTACCTTTGGGATAATAAATCAAAATACCAACAATCCTTTCCCCATATTCAAGTAATCGGAATACTTACACTTATTCTTTTTCTTTTTTTGCACGCAGGGTTATTTTGCTTTACTTTAGATGAGACTGAGTGGGGATTACATTTTCCTTATTTTCACCCTTTTCTGTCTGGAAACTAATTTTATTTTGGCTCTGATATGTCAAAGCACCGAAGCATTTCATTTAATGAAAACTGCAGTCCTGTGGGATTTAAGCATATGCTTTAACACTTTGCTGAAATTAGGAATTTCAGCAGGAAGACATCTAAAAGTTTTGGTAGTTTTCTCAAGTATTGCCAGTGAACAGATAAAACTTATGTTATTTGCTGAGTATCAGCTGAACAGTATATACATACTGATAATACAGTCCTAACCTGAACGATGACATTAAAAACCAGTGGCCAGTTTAACTGTGCTGTTATTCTTAGATTTATAACTCTGTAACAGCTAAACTGTCAGCATATTTTCTTTCACTGTTGCAATACAAAGACTACCAAATCTGATTTTTTAATTTTTTTTTTTAAGTTCTAGTTATGGGAGAATCCTATCAGCTGCAAAATCACCAGGTTTATAAAGTCAGTCACCCAAAGATAAACTTAACATCAAACAGGCCTTGATATGAGACAAAACACAGGAATATCTGTGAGCTAGTTCTCTTTAATAGCAAATTATTTTTAAAAATAAAAGCAAACCAAGAAAACAATTCTTAAAAAAACCCTCAGAACTGTTGCATATAAGCTTAATAAAATAACATTATATAAGCTTAACAAAATAATGTATTTCTCATGTAAAACTGAGTTAAGCCATCACACACAACAAATCCAGACAGAAGAACTATTTGCAAGACCACCTGTACGCCTTGTTTAATTTCTACTTTAACATCAGAATTATTTGTTATGCATAAACTAACTTCTCTATATAAAAGAACCTGATACAAAATCCATGTTGTCAGTGTTGTAAGGTGAATGATAAAATGGTTATAACTCTATCTCCAAAAAGTCTGATTTGCTATTCTGAAGAAATATATCCTGTCTTTCTTACAAGAAAACAGAGGGGAAAACATTTTAAAGCCTGAATAACACTCATAGGGATTTCATATTCCCATGAAAGAAAATGATCATATCACACTTCCCTCGAATTTAGTTTGAGCTTTTCAATTACTCTTATTGATATCCGTAAGTCTTATAAGCATGGAAGACACCAAACATTTGGGGAAAAGGGAAGAAATGATGGAAACTGTTGGCAGACAGAAGCTATAAATAGAAACCAAAGGGATAAAAGTATCACCATACAAATCCCTCAGTTTCTTCTAAATATTGTTTCTAGGTAAAACATTTTGAGGCAAATGTTCTCCAAATTGAGTATCTCCATCAGATATTTTTGGATGCCAATTTAACTTCAAACTTTTGAGCATGAAGAACATCTCAGAGGTTGTTCAAGCCTTAATCTGCAATAAAATGAAGCGAGTATCTGGTACACCATTAACTTCTAGCGAAGAGCCCATTCATAGTAATGTCAATACAAGATTACTGTCATTTGTCTTGATTCAGCAACACATTTAAGCCCATGCTTACTGGTAGGCATCTGAGTTACTCAGCTCTAAGTGAGAAAAACGCAGCATTAGCCATTTTCCTTGGTCAGCTTTGCACAGAATTTTCAGCGGGTAAGTTCCCCTAAGCACCCCAAGGACACAGAGCTGCCTTCTCTGGCTGATTAAGTATTGTTTAAGGGCTTTTAATGCTACTGCATATATTATTCCAGTGTTGGATTAACTATAAAGGTACCTAGAGGATTTCTGTGTGTCATTTTTCCTCACTAGCACGTACAGTTATTTTATTCATTCTGTTTTGTTTGTTGGTTTGTTGTTGGTTTGGGGTTTTTTGGGGGGGTGGGGTCGTTGTTTTTTACTTCTTAACTTTAAATGTCTCCTTAAATCCCAGTGAAATCAAAGGTATTTCAGCATAGGCTTAATTGCTGTATCAAATAAAAGAAGCATACATACTTGCTTAAGAGTTTGGCCAAATTGGGAGCTTATTTTGAACTCATCACAAATGTAATACTTCCTCAGATCTTTATCAGACAGTTTAACAAAAGACACAGGAATTAGAGACAGAGATGACACAGGGCAAACTGTTCTAACCCTGTTCATATGTTTTTTGTCATTATGTTTTTTCATACTTACATTGCCAATACTCAGAAACATGCTGAAGGATCTCTATGTATTTCTACTCCATCAGAAAAATATATTTAATAGTTACTAGAAAAAGTGAAGATGTTTGTATGAGTTTCAGTCATGACAAGTGGTTCTTCACATTCTTCAAATAATGCTTCGAGTTCCATTTGTTCATAAATGTAATTTTTGTCATAATGGCATGAAATCAACAAAAAATGACATTTAGTTTCTCATAGTAATAATTTACCAGCATTAATGATAAGGAAACCCACTATTTATTTTGTATAATTAATGAAATTATGCTCAGGGCTGCATTTCTATGAACTACAAATTATTCCCATTACTAGCAGAGAAACAGTAAGAGCAATGGAATTAGTGTCATTAAGAGAACTAATACTGCGGATCAATGCCTTATTTACTAATGCAAATTAAGCCACAGCCTATCAAGAGCCAGCTTGCTCAAAAAGAAGATGACACACTCCCAACCATTAAGGCTACATAAAGGATTCATAAATGCAGCGATTGTTGCCTACTTTTACAGAAAACTGGCCGCCTCATCCTAACGTGTTTCATATTAAAATGGCTCCATTCACAGCAATGGTTTCATGGCAATTTCAGTCAGAAACCAGGCCTATTGATTTTTTTAATTAATAAATTAAATTTCACATAGACCGAATTACAAATCCACCCAAACTCAACTTTTGAAACTAATCTGCTACATACTCCTCCTTTACTTTTTTTTCACTATGATAACAATTCACTGTTTAGTGAATTGGTGCAGGACAATCAACAAAACTTCTTGCTGTAAATGGGAACAAGCTGCAGTATTGTAGGCTGTCTACGTATATTCATAGTGCTAAATAAGTGCTATTTATCAATGTAAAAACTAACAATTCTAATAAATATATTGAAAATCCACTAGTTAGTAACATTAGGACTGACACCTCATTATCGTACACCATTTTTTGTGGGCATAAGTTGATTAAGTGAGGCACATATTCTAATTATATCTTAATTTTATGCCTGAAAATCATACACTTCATGTGGAATCTTAAAGGAGAAACTACATATGTCCACGTTAAAAGTAAAAATTTGTTTCTCTTTTCTGAACAAATCTACAAGAAGTTTTGACATTGAATTTGGGTTGGTATTTTTTCCTTTTTCTGGAACAGTGTAATTTTAGTGTTTTTTCTATTGCTGCTAAACATCTTATACCACAGAATAGTTCATTTATTTCTAATACTACTATACAGTACTCTTGTACTTCCCCCCTCAAATTCTATCAGAAAATCTCACCTTGTAAAAATAATTCTATGTTCTTCTAGTAGCTATTAATGTTTGTTTTCTCTATCAGTCCTTATAGCATTACCATCTCAAGACTCAATGTGTGGGTACTCAACCTATCTTCCCATTATAAGTTATCAATAGCAAAAAATAACATGCTTTATGTTTAAAGTATTATCATTTTTCTTTTTCTGCTCATTACATTATTTCCACCTATGCAACTGCAGCATAGTCATTGCTCTGGTCATTTTTTTCACTTTCCTGTGGGCTGGTGATTGTCACCCTTGGATTTGTGGATGCTTTTTCAAGATGGGAATCAACCTAGAGAAAAAGGACAGGTACTGTTAACTTCATCAGGTAACAAAGATTTCAATTCATTCCAATACAGTGTTAGTACTTCACACTAAAATTTCCACAAGGTATTTGTAACGTGAAAAATTGTTTTCCAAGAGTGATCACATTAACATTTTTATTTACTTTATGCTTATATACCTTCCAAAGGAGAAAGTACTCAAATTAGAGGTCTCCCCCAGTTCTTTCCTGAAACATGCAGTTACCCACATATCCATTTAAAGTGAATGCTCACTCACTTTCTCCACTTCCATCAATAACTTCAGCTTTTCTAAAAACTAACAAAAAAAAAAATCAATATATCAAGCATAAAATAAATTCAGGGCCCAAGAATATGTCACACTACTCGGCTCTCTTAATTGAAAAATGTTCTTGTGTCGTACAGAAACAGAAGAAAGCCCAGCTGCAAGGTGCAAGAAACCATTCCCAGTGTCACAAGAAAAGCAGAGGAACAGTCTGTTTTTCAGCAGCCTACAGGCAGGGAATGTGCAGCAAGTTGTTCTGCTTCTGACGCTCAAGAATCCCACTCTTCCCAGATCTGGATTCTCCCTATCAAAGCAAGTACTTTGTTTCCCACGTTCTGTTTGCTGGTCAGTTCATCTGACAGTCAGAGTAGTCCATTTTTCTGGGCTATATGTGTCCATCTAAGCCAACATCATGTTACCGTGTCTCCTAAATTAATAGGTTATTTGCTTTCAAACTGACCAAAGCCCCTTGTTTTGAGGATCTTGTTCATCTCCACTGTCTTTTGCAATTTCTAAGAAAAGGAGATGAAACTTCTACAAAGCAATGGCAAGAGCCCTTTATGAATGCAACTTCTGTGAAAGTCAACTCATCAAAATAATGAGGCACTGTGGTTTCATGAACACACCCTTCTGCTCTGTCCTAAAGGACAATGTATTGTGGAAATAGACAATGATTATGCTTTTCTGGAAATTGCAAGAATTTTTTTTATTACTTTTTTTCAAAATTCAGAATACTCAGGAAAGCAGGAGATGCAGATTCATCAAATAGCAAGAAACATCTGCTTTCTCAGTTGGAGGGCATGTAATGTAATTACTGATGTAACTGATCCATATAGATGGAAAACAGCTTTTCTACAAACTGAAGTTTTCATAAATGCTTTCAGGACCATATCAGGAGTGAGCTACTTAGAGACTAGCTGAGAAACCTAAGGCTGAGATGAATGAGGAACAATAACTTAAGAACAACAAGCTGAAAGAATAAACACTCACCTGGTTCTGACTGTCAGAATCCTCTTTTATTTCTTCTTCAGGCCGAAGATCACCTTGGTAGTTCAAGTGCTCCATTCCCTCACCATTTTCTTCATTTTTCTTGCCATTTAAATGGGTAAGTTCCTCTTCCTCTGCTTGGTCAACATTCTCTGTCTCTTCTGCTTCATATTCATAATTGTAATTTAATTTCTTCTTGTTTTCTTCCACTTCACTTCTTCCTTTAACAGTTTCCCCACTTTTCTCTCCATTCACTTCTGGATATTCTTCCTGTCCTTTATAGGCCTCCTCTCCCCTGTCATTTTCCTCTTCGGCATTTTCTTCTTCATCTACAGTTTCTGCTGGTCTCTGGTGAAAGGAAAAGCAGCAGCATAATGAGGCATTTTTAACCAGAATGCTCCATGCAATTCTGGAACATGACAGACATCAAAATCACAATTACATCATTACTGAGGAGTAAGTATGCTAATTTGAGGTTTGTCTACATGGACAGAAAATGATGCTCCTGTACTAACACCCCATAACGCACTCTTATTCTCCATTAAAAATGTGTTAGTGAGATTTAAATGTATTACACTGGGTTAATCCATTTGACCATACTCAAAACAAATGGAATGACCTAGATTTAATTAATATAGCAACAGCTATTTCATTCCAGATATTCCAGGTTCTCCAACATTCTAGCATTTAGTACATACTTGTTCATAAAGTCCCATCACAATAAAATATCATCCATCCCTAGCCCACAAACTGTTCCCCAAGAAGCGTTTTACCTATGGATCGGGCCATGCCACGCCAAGCAGTCCTGTTGTGCCTTCTATGCATCCACAGAAAAGTAGCAAAAGAGATGAGGCAGACCTACCGGTCACTTCCATAACATCATTCCCCTTCCCAAAGACCCCTCTATAGGGTGGCATGGTTAGGATTTGTTTGACGTTTAGCCATGATTTTTTCCTACACAGTCAGACCAGCAGACAGGAGGAACAGGATCTTGTCCCATATTGAAGAAGAGTAAGCAGAAACTCACTACAGATAAAGCTGCTAGTAGCATCATTTCATGACAACCTGGAAGACTGATGCACATACTATCTAGTTGCTGCCATTTGTTTTCTAGTTTCAGCTTGGAAGATTCACCTGACTATTCAGTGAACCCATGCCCCTGCTGCCAAGATGACTTATGTACTTGTGCTAAGGTTTGAATGAAAATAAAGAGAAAAAAAATCCCACAGGAGTGACAGGGTGTCTGCCTCCCACACAGCCTCATCAGACCCTTAAATCTAAAGCAAACAAGCTGAGAGCAATAGATTATCTCTTAATCAAAAGTGTTGGGAATTTTACTATCATTAGCAGCTTCTTTATGCAGGCAGCTGGCTGCTACAGACCTATAAGTTATGTCTTCTAAAAATCTCTTCCTCTCACTAATACTAACATTTCAAAAGAATTCTCTCATCACCTTCAACATATTAGTAAAAGCCAGTTTAGCAATAGCAACAATTGATTGAAGCCTCTTGATGAAACCCTTTGCTTTTGCTTTGATATCTAAGTAGCAACATAAGACAACTTTATTACACCAGTGCACAATACCGCATTGACAGCTTATAAAAATAAGACAAGTTATTGCATTGTAATAATCCACAGAATGACCAATTACTAGAAATATTACAAGGTTACCTGACCAGATAAATAATGGCTCCATAAGTAATTTTTGAAGTACAGTAGTCTCTGTGTGTTTTTTATTCAAGCCTTCCTGACTCACTGTTCTGGGTTTGGCTGGGATAGAGTTAATTTTCTTCTTAGTAGCTGGTACGGTGTGTTTTGGATTTAGTGTGAGAATAATGTTGATAACACACTGATGTTTTAGTTCTTGCTAAGTAATGCTTACTTTAAGTTAAGGATTTTTCACTTTCCCATGCCCTGCCAGCAAGCAGATGTACAAGAAGCTGGGAGGGAGCACAGCCGGGACAGCTGACCCGAACTAGCCAAAGGGATATTCCATACCATGGAACGGCATGCTCAGTATATAAACTGGGGGGAGTTGGCCAGGAGGGGAGGATCGCTGCTCAGGCATCAGTCGGTGGCTGGTGAGCAATTGCATTGTGCATCACTTGTCGTTTCTTGGGTTTTACTTATCTCCTTTTTTTTTTTTTTTTTTTTTTTTTTTGATATAAGAATGGTTTAATAACTATAGTAAAATAAAATATAATAATAACAACAATAATAAAAATATAATAATAATAGTAATGAAAGGAATATAACAAAATAAACTCTTTTCATCTGGTACCATCAAACTGGCCTTATTACCACTAAAAATAAAAACTAAAATAAAAACTAAGCAAGCCAAGTCTTTAAAGACACCTTCAAAGAAGGCACCATCCAAAGCAAACTTGAGCCAACTTTGGAAACCTCCAGCACATAAAGACAGTGAAGAATCTGTAGATCGATACATTCTCAGAAGTTACCTGGTAGTCTTACACATGTGACCTACTAATTAGCAGCTCTGGATTCTGACCAGAAACAGGGGAGGGACAAATTAAATGCACCAGACACCGCTGGCTAAAAGTAAGCAGTTTTGGTTTTGCTTAATGACACCTGCTTGCTACGACATTAAAAACACCAAATGAAGAGTGGGTAAGAAAAGAAGAAAAGTAAACCCAGCCTTCCTCAGTTAAGTGTTGTAGTCATCCAAGATGTTATTATTTGCAGCTTTTTGTTACTGCATGATAGTGGGTACAATCAGAAGAGAATATCTGCCCTTACCTGAACTGCTGTAGTATGGTGGCTCATTTTGGACTGCAGAAGAAGGTGTGTAGACTTTACACCATGGTGTAAACTTGTGCATCCTAACGCATATGCTTTTACTGGTTTCACTGCTGTGGAAGCAGTCTTTGGCATAGAAGCACAATGGACATTTGAGGGGCAGTAACTTCCTAAGGTGCTATCCTAGCTAGACTCATTAGACCGTATCTGTCTAAAACAGATGTGGATGCAAATTTTTTAAGAGTTAAAACTGAGTAACATAGAAGATAAACACAGCGTTATTGAACTGTACCCTGAAACTCACTGGAAGCTCACACGGAATAAGCATGAAATGACATTCAAATTTCAACTAATTTAACTTGACCAGTCAAGCTAAATTGCCTGAAAAATAATAGTACAAAACAAGGTCAGTAAAACAAAACCCATCAGTGCAAGTATAATGTTTTTGTAGTAACTGAAAACTTCAAGATAGCTGAGCATATTACTACAACGGTTATTACTACTACAGACAAAAATAAAAAGTCATGTTTACAGCTAATAATTGGAAAGCAAAATGTGTTCCTCATTTAATCTTCTTTCAAGCTGCACCACATTAGAATGGACATTTCAAACAAGTTAAAATCGGCATTGATCCAGAGGAAAAGACCTTCCGCAAGGTAATCTAAAATGCAGTACGGTTCCCACTGCACGCAGTCATAGGTAGGCTTTGAAATGTGAGTATGACCACAGACGATGCATTTCAGAATGCACAGCAGACCTGAGATAGGACTGTAGGGAGGGAACTGAAGGCCAAAATCACCCACCAAATCATACACTGCGCTTTACATAAAAAGTGTTGATACTTTCTACTGAGATCTTACTGATCTACTAGCTATACATGAACTAGCATTCTCCATTTTAAGTACACCACCTTCACCGAGAAAGAGATATACTTAGCAAAAGTTATATTTTTCATATTTAGGGAAAGAGAATGTTTATGTGCATATATACATGCAGGGAGGAAAACAGCAAAAGGGAGAAAACCAGAGTTTTTTATGGTCCAAAGCCTGTAAATGCTGTACATGCTTAACTTTACCTTCTTGAATAGTTCCAGTGATTTCAGTGAACTGAAATACTGAGCTAAAGCCTATATTAAAGCGCTTGCTGGGTCAGGGTATAATTCAAAGTCCCCTGGAGTCAATGGGAACCTTTTCACTGAATTTGATACACTCCAGCCATCCCTCCACCTGCAACTGTACAAAATGCCTATTACGCATACATCAAAGTTGCTGCAAACTGTGTTCTCTTGGTCGGAGTAAATCAGGATGGGCGTATTAAAAGACTCACTGACAAAAGACTTGTATATGTACATTGAAAGGCATATTCAACGAAAGACATGTAGAACAACTGAAGTAATTCTCAATTTCATGCTGGAAACATGGACCCAGCTTGCCCTCTGGAACCCTCCTGACTTACTAGCAGGTTGATGAGGAATAGAGTGAATTTCATTTTGCATTCAAGAAGTATGATTGCTTGATGGTATTTTTAATCTCAGCAAAACCAGAGTGTTTAAAAAAGAAAGATGTATTCTAATTACACTCATCATGCTATCATTCATTAAGAGCTACATTACCAAATGCCATCATCATTCAAAAGTAATAAGTCAGGAAATCTTCAGACGTTGAAGCATTTGGCTTCTTTTCCTCTAGGGATGCTAATGTAACCTCTCAGAAGGTTTGTACATGACTGATACTAGAATATTGAAAAGTGCAGTATCACAAAACATTTAAGGCGGAAATTATTTTGTACCATTAACGTAAAACATAATTTTGCTTTATTGAAGCCATTTGGAAATGTTTACTTGGCTAATGGTCACAACAGACAAACAATGAGGTAGACAACAAAAATCTTAATGGTCACAAATACTGGCATGAATACATCTCACAAATGGAGCATCAGGAACACTTAAATTTGATTGCACCAAACCTCTCCAGAACAGAGCTGCCCCTGCTCCTACCCAGTCAGGAATGCTTTGTAGCAACACTGCACAGATTCCAACAGCAAAACATTTTGTTCCCAAACCAGATAGGGTTGCTAAGTGACAGCAGCCCTCTTCTCTTCCACATCATTTACAAAACTCAGGCTCTTAAAAACAAGCAAATGAATAGTTAAGGGTTCATCAGTCTTACACTTCCCACATAGTAAATGCACCGTTGCTCCTGAAGGCAAAAAAGTCTATATTGCCACAATATTTAAACTCCAATTTTTTAGTTGGATGCTTTTTTTTTGGCTTTTTTTTTTTTTTTTTTTTTTACAACAAATGCAGCACCTGAGTCCACAGAGTCTAATTTTTCATAAGATTATAGCACCCAGAAGTCTAACTTGAATGAATGGAAACTATGTAACTGAAGTGTAGAAAAAACAGCTTTTCAAACTCCATTCCTCTGTTTCATTGTGTAGTAACTGGAAGCGTGCATAATTCCTTAATCACAAAACAGACATGGCAGAGAAGAAAACATCTGATCAGATCTTTACTTTTCTAAGATGTACCTAAGTCAACAATATTTTTCTCCATTTATTTCACTGGCAATCATGTCTACTTTTTCCATAAC